AATTAACAATAATCTTTAGAGTTATAATTTTATCCATTTGGAAGAAGCTAAGCTGCAAAAACAAATAGGTGCTTTAATTCACAATTCAACTCATCCACTATGAAATTTTGATGCTTTTGAAGAATGGTCAAACAATCTTAAAAAATTAAAGTAAGGAACAGGTTTCTACAACATGATCAAAATGAACAATTAACAGATTATAAAAATTTATGCAATTTCATTTTTAGTTTTCATGCCTTTGAAAAGTAAGAATTTCTACTCTTCATTTTTTTAATAAGAAAACTATTGAACAATTTTGAAAATATAAATCAAGAACAATTGTATTCACTTAAAAATGTCATTTGTTTACAGATGAACTATATTTAACAAATCAAGGAATGGCACGGCTAACAAGATGAATAACATGTTTATATACATAAGTTCCTCAAAAATCAACACCAGTAGTCTTATCCCAAGTACTTGCAGTTAGCTATATCAATTTTCATTCACCAATTATTTCTATAACAACTTTGTTTGACTTCTACATTGCAAAGGGAGTCATTTGAATGAGAAAATAGGACAACTCTTTCCCAAAAATTTTCTTTCAAAAAATAGCTTTTGATAAAGCATAATAGAATTTGTGAGTTGGGAAACAGATTTAAAAACTCACTACTAAAAATAGTAGAAATACATAAACCACATAAAACAAAGCCTAGGTGATGCACAAGATGTAAAATCAATTTTTCATGATTTCTTTACATATGCATCATTTGAACTTTGGACTACTGTCATCCTTCATGACACTTCAAAATTAATTTTATTTACCCAACTTATTTATCTATACATCCTTTGTCTTCATTATATACGTCAAAACCACCTAGATTTATTTTCCACTATTTAGTCTTCAATAGATGCTATTATCACTCTATCCTAAAAAATTCATTAATACAAAATTCCAAATTTTGCCACACATTCATCTTAATATTCTCATTTCTATCATGCTTAAATTGGCTATGAATGATTTATTTATAAATAAGACTCATGTTCATACAAAAAATTCAGCTCAATTGTAGTTATATAAAATCTTCCTTTTAAGTCTTCATGAATATCAATATTTCAAAGGCACTTCTTCATTTTTACCCTCTAACATTAACTCTAAAAATTATAGTTATTTGATTCCCACTTGCTCTTCATTTTTATATACCTTTATTCTTTAACATAATAAATCAAAGCTACACAAACATACCAATGTATCAAACATAGGTATTTGGTTATTATATCACATCACTAAAATTGTATATTTATATAATTAAGCTTAGTTTTTAATAACCTTAAATCAGTTATTTCCTAACATATTCTCTATAGTCATAGATTTTTATGCATTTCAATAAATGACTAATCCATTAGAACCATCTCATTTGCAAAAAGCATACACGAAAATACCTCAATTTAAATAACATTTATAAGTAACTTAATAACCAATATAACAAGATACAAACTTAACGTTCATCCTTGATGTAATTACATGGTGCTAAAATCACTTTGAACAGTCCAAAAACTACTTGTAATGTTACTCAATGTTTCATCATACATATCATTAACTTCGCATGCCTTTGATGAGCTCCTTCTTTTCTAAATGCGTACAAAATTAATTCCCATAGCACATGATAATAAAAGAGCTCCATAAAAATGATATAAATATTTGTTTGTTAATCTATATATATTTCATTAATTTTCATAACATAAAATTCAACTTGATAGTAATTTCTCACATAAAATCAAATATACTTCAATACCAAAATAAATTGTCAAGTTTATAACCCATCAATCTCTTCAATAAATCCAATGAATTACCCATGACTCATAAGCTTAACTATGTTGTGAGCATCATGATTTTGATAATGTCCTTTACTATTAAATATTGGTGCTATACTAATACTTCATTTTCACTAATTTGACATCCATAAGGCCTTAAGTATTCCATTGAAAAAAGTTAAAAAATAGCTAAAATATCACCATAACTCTCCACATCTCAATAAATATCTTATATGGATCTAAAGTTAAAATTTTTAGCTTTATGCATCATCTAAATAGCTAACATGACTTAAAATGTTTATTAAGCTCTCTTGAAAAGATTTCTTCCTTAAAACCATTATCTAATACATCCTTTTAAAAGTTCTTTTGATCATCCTATCTTTAATTGAGATCTCTTGCTATCTTCATCTTTAATGCAACTAATTTGATCGAAGTCTCTAGATTTTATAATTAGTTGCCTCGACTATTTTAAATAATTACATGGTGTAAAAATCATTTTAAACAGCCCACAACTACTTGTAATGTTACTCAATGTTTCATCATACATATCATTAACTTCACATGCCTTTAATGCGCACCTTCTTTTCTAAATGCGTACAAAATCAATTCCCATAGACATGATAATAAAAGAGCTCCATAAAAATCATATAAAGACTTGTTTGTTAATCTTTATATTTTTCATTAAGTTTGATAACATAAAAATCACATTGATAGTAATTTCTCACATAAAATCAAAAATACTTCAATACCAAAATAAATTTTCAAGTCAATAACCCATCAATCTCTTCAATAAATCCATTAAATTACCCATGACTCATTAGCTTAACTATGTTGTGAGCATCATGATTTTGAAAATCTCCTTTACTATTAAATATTGGTGCTAAAATACTAAGACTTCATTTTCAATAATTTGACATCCATATGGCCTTAAGGATTCTATTGAGAAGCGATAAAAAAATAGCTAAAATATCACCAAAACTCTCCACATCTCAATAAATATCTTATATGGATCGAAAGTTAAAAATTTAATCTCCATGCATCATCTAAATAGCTAACATGACTTAAGATGTTTATTAAGCTCTCTTGAAAAGCTTTCTTCCTTAAAACCTTTATTTAATACTTCATTTCAAAAGTTATTTTGATCATCCTATCTTTGACTAAGATCTCTTATTATCTTCATCTTTAATGCAACTAATTTGATCGAAGTCTCTAGATTTTTTTATTAGTTGCTTCAACTACTTTAAATATTTATTTTTCTTCTTTTCTAGTTGGTCACACACACACACACATACATAAATATCGAAAGTTATCCTTTTTTGCATTAATTACTACCCTTTTTAGAATACTTTTAGCTTGCTCATAAGCATTTTAAGAAACAAAACTAGTTACCCCTTTCCGCTCATATTTTCCTCTAAGAATAAATTTCTTTCCTTAAAGTAAAAGTAAATACTATTTATGATTTGGTAGCACTTTGAAAGTAATGAAGTTTTCTTCTTGTTTCTTGAAGTATGTGCTAGCTATTATAAGATTATATTGTTTTGCAGAATTAAATATAACATCCATCAACACATTGTTATCCCCTATTTCATATCCAACATGAATCTTCTTCTAAATTCTACTAGAAGATGTATGAGAATTTTACTCACCCCTAAAATGTATCACTTCCCAGGGTACAAGTTGTAATAAATTATCATTTTTTCTACATAAAAACAATTCCTCAATCTTTCCAAATTTGATTTTGAAAAACTTCTTCCAATCCAACTAGGAAAGTAAAGAACCAATCACATCTAATGTCCTCCTAATAATCAACTTACTAGTAAGCATCATATAACTAATTATACTCACTTCAACAATTTTATTTTTCAATTTTCTTTCCAATCTCATCTTTATCTCATTTCTTATTTTCAACCTTTCCAACAGACATTCCAATAACACTCCCACATGTCTTTAACTTTCTCTCCTTTTAGCTTCAAGCAAGCAATGTTTATTTATTTTCTAATCCTCATCAATATATCCACTAATTCCTTTACCATTCAGTCATAGAATTCCATGTCACTGATCTAATCATAAGTTTAAACAGACTAACCTCACCCATCTTTCACTATAATTAGATTAAGTTATAGTGTATCACTTGTATGTGGCATCCTAACCACTTTCTCCACTGGTGAAATTCCAAAAATTGCAAGCACTTCTTACTATAGTTAAATTAGATCATAGTGCATCACTTCAGAAGAATGTCTTAAACTAGCATATTTTAAATTTGAATTCATTTCATAACTTTTTCTTAATTTTATGATTGATCATTGACTGAACATCAACTTTAAATCTTTCTAATTCAAGACTAGGCCCATTGTTGATGGCTTCTCAAATATAACGACCAATTTATTAAAATCCATAAGTTTAGATTAAATATAATGCAGGTTATCTATATCTTTAATAATAACTTTTTAAATCACACTAGTACACTACCAATTTACTCCTAAGGTTGGCGAACAATAAAATCACTACAATAAGTTATTAAACTTTGTCCCAAGGTACTTCAAGAAAATCAAAATCAGAGATCCTAAATGTTATTATAGAGTTTCCATTAAAATCTCAATAAGACGAAATACTACAATTTTTCAAAGAGATAATTGAATGCTCCTATCTTCTCCTAAAAAAAGAGAAGTCATTCTTCTCATAAGCTTATTGTTAATAGAAGAAAAAATGGTAGAAAAAGATAACAAGTTTGAGCAAATACAGCAAAGAATAGAAGGTACGTTGATAAGATGCTTAGATAAAATCAATATAAAAAAAAAAGAACAAAGCAAGATAGACTGGAGGTAATTTGGACATAAGTCATGACAAAATTTTAGCAAAAATGTGTTCAGTATCTCATGCAGCAATCAAAAAGGATAAATGGAAAATTGGTGCCAATAAAGAAAACCCTAAATAATTGGCATAAGGCTAAATGCCTGTTACGACTTCTGACTATCGAATTTGATAGATCTTACCATAGTTTTCATGGCCAGAGCAACATTAAATCAATTATACTTAGAAATACCAGAACTATAAACATTCAGCATGCCTATTTTCATCGTATGTGGTATGATCTAAACCAAAAACCCAACTTCAATCTCCAAAAAGGAAAAAAAGTCTTCAATCTTCTAGACAAAGAGAAAAACAGAAATTCAGGCAGCAACGAGAAAGATTGACAGAATATTTACGTTTTAAATCGAAATTCAATAATGGAACCGATGAAATCAACACCCTAAAATGGAAAGATCACCAGCTCGCCAAATAGCCCTCCAAAGCACTGCAGCGACGTCTTTCGCCGATTCCTTCTACATTGATTTGTGAGGCTAAAGAAGCATACAAGCCCTAAGGAATCCAGAACTAAGCTCTCTCCACCTTACTATTTTCGTCTAGCTCGATCGCTCGTTCTCGGCTCCCAGAAGCAGGGGGCACTGGGTCAGTGGCACACACTGTAAATTTGGGGTTTTTTAATCAGGGCATTTACATAAATAGACACAGTTCTTGTATATTTACATGTTTAACATCTAAAAATTTATATTTACATATATACCACTCAAAATTTAAAATCACATAAAAAATATTATCATTATTTTTTTAATAAGTTTCTAACGCTAAAATATTTTTAAATGTAAATATCAAATTTTAAGTATTAGATATGCGACATATTTAAAATTAGTACAACGCATATGAAAATAATTAAATTTTGAAAATGTTATATACATATCCCACAATTCTTATGCATTTATATATTAAAAATCTAAATTTTTATATTTATATTTATAATTTATTAATGTTA